GGTTGGATAAGGGGCAGGGAGTCCCGGGGGATGGGGAGCAGGGGGCAGTTGGATAGGGCGGAGGTTCGGGGGGGGCAGTTGGATAAGTGTGGGAGACCCGGGGGGCCTGTCAGGGGGCAGGGGTGTGGATAGGGGTTGGGGCAGTCTGGGGACAGGGAGCGGGGGAGGACAGGGGGTGGGGTCCCGGGGGGGCAGTTAGGGGCGGGGGGTCCCGGGAGGTGGTGGTTAGGGGACAAGGAGCAGGGGGGTTGGATGGGTCAAGAGTTCTGAGGGGGGCAGTCAGGGGGCAGGAAGTGGGAGAGAGCAAATAGGGGGCGGGGGCCAGGCTGTTTGGGGAAGCACAGCCTTCCCTACCCGGCCCTCCATACAGTTTTGTAACCCCAATGTGGCCCTCGGGCCAAAAAATTTGCCCACCCCTGCCCTACTTGATGATAACACAGTTTTGACCACATTATGAGGGCATCAAACTTTTCCCATTGGCTAGGCAGACCTAGATTTAACAGAGCTTTTACCTGTGGATGATCTACTAGAATTTATCTCAATCTGATAAATTTAACATTTAGTTTCAAATGCAATTATATACTGTAAAGTCCTTTATCACTTTTCTTAGTTATTGGGCAAAAGCAAGAGTGTTAGCCCTGCTGAAAGTGTAACATTCAATATACTCCAACTTGGCTAAGGCCTTTTTTCTGTGTCTGTATTCTTACACCATCAGTAAATACATTGTCCCCCTAATAAAATAAATACTAGAAGTATTTCCTGACAATGAAACGATGAAGGTTGAAACAAAGGTCCATAGTAAATCAAATACTGTTATTTTGAGTTTCTCAATTGTACAGTAGACCCTCAGAGTTTCGAACACCTCAAGAATGGAGGTTGTTAGTAACTCTTAACAAAACATTTTGGTGGTTCTTTCAAAAGTTTACAACTGACATTGACTTAATACAGCTTTGAAACTTTACTATGCAGAAGAAAAATGTTTTCCCTTTATTTTTTATTATTTACATTTAACACAGTACTGTACTGTATATGCTTTTGGGGGGGCAGAAGGGGACGTCTCTGCTGCTGCCTGATTGCGTACTTCCGGTTTCAAATGAGGTGTGTGGTTGACTGGTCAGTTCGTAACTCTGAGGTTCTACTGTATTCATTGAATTAAGTTTTCAATTAATTAAAATAGCATGCATTTGGTTTTTATTTATTGATTGATTTTACTCTTGGCTATAGAAGCAATAATTTTAATCATTCAACTTCTCCTCAAAGCCACCCTCACAGCTTATTTAAATCCCATGACAGTTTTTGTGCATTTGCTCAGCTATGATTGAAAAAAACACTTTCAAGGTTGTCAGGACTGTTTCCAAAAAAGATGTGTTATATTTTAGGGGTTATTTAAAAATGTTCAGCTGTCAAAACTCATCTTTGGAAAGTGCTAATTTTAAGTGTGAATTACTGTGTGTCACATCATAAACAAACTTGTACAGGTGTGCAGCATCCTATTTAAAAATACTAGCTTATTTATAGTCAGACACAGCAGGGCTGTGATAGTTTTTACTTATTTGTTTGAACTGTAGCACAACAAAGGGTGGTTAAACAAAATGCAGAAAATAACTAAAAGAGGAGCTCACTCTAGAACAAACTTGAAATGAAAACCTTAAAGATCACTGGGTCACATTAAGGTCTTTCTCCCTCCTAACTCAACTTCTCCTGCTGCTCACTCATGCAGGGAGATCATAATTCTGTGCTTGTGATAGTTCCACAGCAACACTGATGACAGTGATGTCACAGATTCAACCCTGACTTCACTGCAGGATCAAGTACAAGAAGCAGATGGGATGCGAGAGAGAAAGTCCCTATTTAAACACAATTCTCTTTCATGAGAAAGAAAGGGGCACAAGCAAAGAAACTGGTGAATGGACATTGTTTTGATATACGATATATTCAAAACATTATCATAGCATGAAAATCTGTTTAAAGGCAAGTCTTCCAATACAGTGTAATTGTAAAATTTGTTAGCCTTATAATAAATTGACCTGGAAAGCTCCCTGTTTAGTAAAACAAACCTGTGCTCAGTTTTTAAAGCTGTGTTAGAGAAATTACACATTCATCTCTTGTTACATGTACAATAATTCCTTAAATAAATTCAGTCTTAATACTCAGATGTATTTATTTGACACACTACTATTGTACTCTGAGTGCCACAGGCAAACACAATGACAGATCCCTGCCCCGAGGCATTTGTGATCTAAATTAGACTTAATACAAGAGACAATCTAATGTGATGCCCAGAGTATGGAAAGATGATAATTATAATATACAAGTGACACCCTAAGAATGGTGATGGGAACTGCACCTCAGCCACTAGACCTTTCATTTGTGACACTTCAGAAGGCTCAATTCTCTCTCCAGTCTTATTCAAGATCAACATGCAGCCACTAGGCGAACTGGTAAGAAAATAGAGACTTACGTGCCAGCAATACATAGATGACACAGCTCTACCTATACATCACCATATATGACCATAGCACTCAACATAAAATATCTCATCCAAGCACTGGACTCTGCTCATGCATTAAAAACAGCTGGCTAAAGTTCAACCCATGCAAGATAGAGGTGGGCAGAGGAAAACACTCTGAAGAGTCTGCACCCAAGGTGCAGTCTTCTTTGGTGGAAGGCGCATACCTCATAATTCATCAGTTCAGCTGGGAGTTTTGGGGTGGTTCCTGGATTGCTCACTGATGATAAGCACTCACATAGCATCCACAAGTGATGCTTTCCAACATCTGTAGCTGTCTAGAAGACTCCATCCCATCATAGTAGATGGTGACCTAACCTCATTGATTCATATCTTTTTCATCTCCTATCTGGACTACAGCAATACAATATAGCTGGGCATGAAGCCTTCAGCACATAGGAAATTCCAGCTCGTACAGAACACTGTAGCACATCCTCACCTCACCACACCGTGAGCACAACAAACCTGTCCTCTGCTCTCTACAAAAGTTTCCCCATAAAATAGTGAGTCAAATTCAAAGTCTCTGTCTTTCGCGTCCAGGCATCAAGGGCCTGGGCCAAGCATATCTAAAAGACCACCACAACAGGTACAACAAAACTGTGGACCATATGGGTAAAGCTCATCTGTGCAAGGTACCAAGTTTTCTTAGGGGCTGCTCTGAGACTGTGAAATGAACTCCCTCATGAACAATGGACCATCACACCTACCAAACCCTACCAAAAAGACCCCACTACATTGGACACACAATTCTCCCCCTGGGGACAGGATGAGAGGGAGACTGAACCACACATGTTGCTTAACGCACCACTTGTCAAATGCTCATATTCTATGGTGATGAGGGTGATATATGAACCTATATGGAATAGAAATCAAAATATATACTTGGTAAGTAACCCATCCAGTTGCTTCCTTTTAAAAAATACATGTTAATGTGTGAAGATTTGGGAGTGAGGACAGGAATAGGAGAGTAACCAAAATATGTTTTGAGGAGTGCTTTGAGAAGATGAGAAGAGCAAAACAACCTGGCACACAGGGCCAGAAGTATACTCCATACATAAGGGGCTCATGAGAAAAGGCACAGTCTCTTGTAGCAGAAGACAATCAAAGGAGTGTTAAGATGAACTGAAATAGCACATACAGTGAGAGCTGGGGAAGTGCCAAGAAACTAGTGTTGAGGTGTAAGCAGAAGCCAAGCCTTGTAGTCCTGAAGGTGAGTATAGGGAGTTTGAATGTGATGCAGAAGTGGAGTGAACACCAATGTAGGATTTGACCAGGCAGATATCACAGAGCTGTAGGTGAGGCAAACATTTCTGGTAACAGCACACTGGACAGACTTGAAGGATACGACATGAGAATCATGGTCAGAAATGAAGATGCTGTAGTAATCAAAGCAAGAGATGACAAGAGTATGGATCAAGGTTCTGGCAGTAGGAATAGAAAAGGGACAGATTTTAAAGATACCAGAGAGGAAGCACCAGACGGATTGTCAGACTATATCTTGGAGAGAAAGAAACTGAATATGACATGAAAGTTGCAAGCCTCGGTGAAGGGGAAGATGAGTTGAAATGTGGCTGGACATCCAAAAAAAGATGTCAGATAGTCACAAAGCAAAGACAGGCCATGGGAGACAGATCAGGTGTGGAGAGATAGATCAGGGTCTCATTATCATTCAGGATATGAGAATGGACAGTGGGTTACCAAGGGAGAGAGTATAGAGAAAGAGCAGGAGAACGGGAGATGACCAGAAAGTTGTCTCTATTGGAATTGCTAAGAGGAGGGGGACACACTGATGTCCTAGAAGATGTAAAACTAGTTATATGCCATTATTCTTGTTGAGTCCCTCATTAGAAATTCTAGTCAATTCTAGTCAGTGCTTTAACTTCAACCTGAGAAGTCGCATGTTTTCCTACATGCAAATTGCAACCAAAAGACTTGCTCAGATAACTGACTAGGATTGTGATCTTGTTAGTACTCCTGCAGCACCATATCTCTTTCACCAGAGTGCTTATAGGAGTTTGAAACTAATTGCTAATACCAATTCAAGTCAGCTCACAATGCCATTTGCCCTGTTCCAAAATTGCTACAGTAAAAGTTATTTTCTGCTACTTAGGTATTTTTTTACTTCCAAAGAGACAAACGGAGAAATCAAAGTACTCGAGTCCCAGTTCTGAGACATACCACTAAAATGAAATGACTTATTAAATCTACGTTTTATGGACTGAAAGATTATAGGAATTAAAATGGTATAAGTATGTAACACAAACCATCATATCAACAATAAACTGCTGTAAATGCTTGCCCTTCTATCATCAGAATATTAATAACTGAAAAATGAATTAGAATAATAGCAATGAGCAGTAACAGAATTCCAAACTATCAACACTTCAAAGCATGAGGTGACAAAATAGAGGGTGTGTGGACTAAATAATCTAATAGGGTCTTTTCCATCCCTAGTTTCTATAAATAAATGCCAACAGTTGGAGTACATTACCTTCATTTTCAGAAGCCTGGCATTTTACCTTGAGTACCAAATCAAACGTACTTTCTGGATTTTCCCTGGAAATAAAAAACAAGTCAATTGATTAGTCATACATATGTCACAAACCACATAGACTGATCTAGATTATCAAGCCTTCTCTACAGTGTCCATAATGTTATATCATTTCCACTCCATTTGACACTATAAAATTAGAGAGAGAATCTCAATTATTTGGATGTTTTGTAAGATTTCAGAAGTCATATTTTCCTTCACATCCTGTAATGTATTCACACACTTTTCAAAAAAGAATAGGCAACAGAAACAAGAATCGAGAATAATTATATGATTGTTAAAACAATCAAAATTCTGTGATTACACTGATAAATTGTAGTCCTATATGTTTGAGAGCTCTTCAGTCCTTTCATTATGTCATTACCCCATTTTAAATAGTCGTGTTGAAGTAAATACAATTTTAAACTTGCTGACAGTTTGCTTTACAAAACTGAACTTTACAGATGGAAAAAATGCTGCTAGTTTCTTTATTATCTATCAATTAGAAACCAGTATGTAGATTGGGCCTCTCTGATAGCCTTTTCCACTTCACCAGGTTGAACCACTTCTGTTTTTAAGGTATGAAGAGAGTGAACCAGTATTAGGCTTCCATCTTAATTCCTGCAAACTGAGCCATTAGCACATTTATCTTTTTAATATATTTGGTCACCAACTGAAACTTGACAGTCACCTTACTATCTCCTTCAGAAGTTACTGCCACTGGCATGTTTAAGGATTGAATCCCATACACAACAATTCAACCACTGAGAAAATATTAATCCAGTAATTATTAATTACATTTGCATTTGTTGGCTGATAGCTCATTACCCAACCCTAGCCTAAATTTAAATAATTATTTGAACAGAACAGCCACAAGTGAGTACCATTACTATACAACATTCTCTGTCTGTGAATAAACTTGTACATTTCAGTAATTTCTTGATTTATTATGTTAGGTTCAGAAGCAATCCTTAATTTATTTTTACCATTCTGAGTTATTTAAATTCTCATTCTGATGAGCAATCTGCCATTTATATTAAAAGCAAATATTATAACCTCCACCATATCAATTATTTATCTAAGTAACCACATAAAGGGCCCAGGTTTGAACTCTTTTCTTGAGTAAAATGCCTACAGAAGTCAGCAGTTTTTCACAAGTAAGGAATTCAAGACTGGGCCCCAGGTTTCTAAAATGATGCATATAAAGCATATCACAGATTGATAATTCAATACAAGTTTTTAAAAAAAGTTTTAGAGGGATTTTGGACTAGAGCAGGGGCGGGCAAACTTTTTGGCCTGAGGGCCACATCGGGTTTGGGAAATTGTATGGAGGGCCAGTTAGGGGAGGCTGTGCCTTCCCAAACAGCCAGGCGTGGCCCAGCCCTGCCCCCTATCCGACCCCTCCCCCCCCACTTCTCGCCCACTGACACACACCCCCGGACTCCTGCCCCATCCCACCCACCCTGTTCCCTGACGGCCCATCCGGGACCCCTACCCCATCCAACCACCCCCTCTCCCTGTCCCCTGACTGCCCCCAGAACCCCTGCCCCTGACTGCCCCCCGCCCCCCCATCCAACCCTCCCTCTCCTTCCTGACTGCCCCCCGGGACCCCTGCCCCCATTCAACCCCTGTTCCCCGCCCTCTGACCGCTCCACCTCCTAGCCACAACCCCGCCCCCTGACCACCACCACCCCAAACTCCCCTGCCCCCTTACCCCGCTGCCTGGAGTACCGGTGGCTGGTGGCGCTACAGCCGCGCTGTCTGGCTGGAGCCAGCCCCGCCACCGTGCAGCACAGAGCACCAGGTCAGGCCGGACTCTGCAGCTGCGCTGCCCCAGAAGCTCGCAGCCCCACCATCGAGAGCATTGCGCCGGGTGGTGCAGTGAGCTGAGGCTGCAGGGGAGGGGGAAGAGCATGGGAGGTGCCGGGGGCAAGCCTCCAGGGCCAGGAGCTCAGGGTCCCGCGGGCCAGATGTGGCCCGCGGGTCGTAGTTTGCCCACCTCTGGACTAGAGGGAAATTTTCAGAGGTCACCAGTTACTTAATGTGTTTTCTATCATTTATTTTGTCACCAAGTATTGACAATATGCATTTATATTAAGACTGATATCAAATTTCTGAGCAACAATCACATATCTTTCCACATCATATTCCTTCTCTGCATCACTTTTTAAATTATTCAATTGGAAAATCTTAAAGGAGGATCCTGAATGAGCTAGTTCTGCACTTTTTGTATTTTTTTGTCTAAGTTTTGCTCTCAGTTACACCAGTGTAAATCCAGACTACTTGAGATTTACAGGAGTGTAACAGAAAAGAAAATGATCCATTGTTTCTCCCCTCAGCTAGCAAGATCAGAATGAATCTAATTAGAGTTACACTCATTTAAATGAGGGCAAAACTGAGCTGTAAGAACCCAGCCTGTAGTGAGAAGAGTGGAATCCCTCTACCATGAAAGGGTTAAATGAAATTTAAACCTAGGTGTGTTTTTGCTCTTTTGGCACATTTTCCCCCTTCCTTAAAGGAGTGGAAAATCAGAATGCTGGATTTAACACATTCATTTCCATTAAAAAAGTGTCTCAAATACAGGATTAGGACTTCAGAGCTCAACTTCTTAACTGAATTTACAGTCAATAAGACAGCGTGTGAAAATGTGTTTCTTCCCTCAGTACACCACCACAAAGACTGCTTCCACAGAAAAGTTCTAGGTTTACCCTTCACCTCCCACATAGAAGGTGTTACTTATACTTAGAAGTGTCAAGAAATATGTCAAACTAGTGTGATATATGTCAGACTGACTTTCATTTCTATTATAACTATTAAATAGCAGATTCATCATAAATACAGATTACTGTCAGTTTACAAAATTCAGATTTAACCTCTCATCAATTACTGAATTAAGGAAATCAATGGGACTATTCACAATGGGCAAGTAGCTTCAAACCATCACAAAAAATTAACTTCATAAAAGTTACTTTGTCAACACATCTGGGTTACACTAAAATTCTCTTGAGGTAGAATTATTCTAACTTCTTGAAAAAACATAATTTTCTTCAATAATCAAATAGAAAGATGATAGATTCCTTAGAAGAATGTTTATAAACAACCTCTGTTTTGATGTTACTAGTTTTACACACTATTTTTGTAGCTGTTTTTCAAAACCAAGACTCATTCATCTGTATTTTTCACAAATATGACAGTAAAGTAAAATAGCTGGAATATTTTAAAAAATCACCATTTATTGGCAATAGATACAAAGAGACAATAAATAGGCAAAAAGTAGAAGTGCAAAAGTTTGTTCAGTATTGTTTTTGTAAGCCACCTAACACCCAAACAAGTCATGGTGGACATTCTTCTGAGAAGTTTCGTAGGTACCAAACCTTAGGCTGGCACTGTCTTCTATGAAGACTAGTTATGTGTATGCTCCCAGAGACAGAAACAATGGCCTGTCAATTCTTCCACTTGTGGGGCAGACTCCTTCACTGGGATGAAGATTATTATAAGGCCCTGTGTACCTTTATCTCATCCTCTGATGATGAAGGATTTAGCAAGTGGGGCTCACTTTAAGGTGCACGTACAACAGTCTCTGATGATTGAAGGGGGGGGGGCGTCATTTTGACAGAGTGTGTGTTCTCCAGTCTCTCGCTGGGAATAGAGGATACTAAAGCAAAGAGGGGTTTCTTTGGGGGAAGGAAGGGTGTGGGGTTGACGAGCTCTCCTTGTGGGGCGGGCTGTAGGATTCATGGCAGGGCGTCTCCACTGGGGGATGGAGAATTGGGTGGGGAGCCACCAGCTGTTCACTCTGAGGCTGCCAGTGTCACACCTGCGGGGAAAAGGGGAGTTTGCCATGTGGACTCCCATGACAGCCCGGTGCAGTCCAGCTCCTGTTGTGCCCCGGGGCTCTGCTCAGGCGCCCCCTGTGCGTGCCCAGCGCAGAGCCAGGCCCCTGCCCCACACCCCGCCAGGCTGGGGGAGGCTTTGAGGCCTAGTCCCTCCTCCCCCTCCCTCCAGCGCAACCCCCAGAGCCGCCTCGGCCGCCCCCTCCGCCGAGCAGCCCCCGCGCCGCTCCCCCTGCCTGCCGGCACTCACTTGATCCTGCTGTCCATGGTCACATCTCGGGCCCCGGGCGGCCGGTCCGCGCCCCCGCGGGGAAACACCTCGCCCGGCCGGCAGGGAAAGGAGGGACGCGCCGGCCCCGGGGGAGGGGGAGGTTACAGCGGCTGCTGGCGGTGGCCCATGGCTGCTCCGCTCCCCCGGCTCGGGCCGTGAGCGCGGCGGGGAGCGGCGGCACCGCCTCCTCCCAGCCTCAGTTCCTGTTGCCGCGGCGCCGGCACCTTCTGGGAAGCAGGAAGCTCGGCGGTGGCCGGAGCAGCCGCCAGGGTCAGTGTCACCTGCGCCGGGCCAGGAGGCGGCTCTGCGGGGGTGGCCCTGCCGCAGGGGCACGGGGTGGGGGTGGGGACAGGACTGAACTGCTCCGGGGACACACGCGGGGTGTCGGCTGCCCGGTCCGTGCACAGTGCGGCGCTCCCCGCACCGGCCCCAGGGCCTGCTGCAGCAACCTTTGCCCTACGGGCCCGGCCCCATGCCAGCGCTGAATGCGCTCGGAGGCACAGGGCAGGGGCCCGGCTCCATTGCCTGACCCACGGTGCTACTCCAAAAGCTCTGGCTAGGTGTGTCCCCCATGGGGGCTGTACAGTCCCAGTCCAGCACAGCCCTGCACGTTTCCTCTAAACACCCCGAGCGGTGCCTGAACTTCTCCTTTCATTATAATTAACGCTTCCCTAGTTTGGGGAGGGAGGAAAAAACCCCAAAACCGCCACTTTGCACTGTTCCTCAAGAAAGACGGGCAGACAGCTAAGGTGTTTTGTTTTTTTTTTTTCCACTTTATTTCCCCAAACCCCTCAAGCTGGGTTCTCAGGTTGTTACAGGTTTAAAGGAATGAAGTTCCAATTTACACACACCAAACGAAGAGGGAAAGGGAAATAAAATGTTGGGTCAGATATTCAAAATATTTCATTACTAAAGCACATTCAGGGTGGGGGGGATGAAGGATTTTGCAAAGGGGGACTTTTTAGAAATGCCTTCATTAATCCAGAGTGAAGCAGAGGTGGCTGCTCTACTCTCTCCCAACCAGAAAGCTGGCTCCCTAAACCAAAGACTCATCCTGTAGGCTCCAATATATGCCTTCCTTTACTCACTGCAAATATTCCCATTGACTTTGATAAGAGTCTGGTGTCGATGCAATTCTTCATAGCGCACAATGTTAAACATGTCTTGCGGTATTTGGTCTTTACAGTTTAGGAAGGTCCAGATCCTGCAAGCGGATCCAGAGGTCCGCTCACATGGTTCAGCTTTCAGGATATAGGCCTTCACACCAGGAAGAGCCCTCAGAGGAAAAGGACAACAGAAGCAGCATACACTAGAACCTAATCCTGCAAACTATTATGGATGCCAGTAGTCCCGTTGAACTCAATGCAGCTATTCACAAAGTTAGTTCTGTGTATTTTCAAAATTAGGGCCTTCCTAGTTTCTAAGGGACAGATTCCTTTGACTTCAGATGGAGCAGCAAGCATGTAGGTGAAAACAGAATTTGAATCAGAGTCTTTTGTTGGGCTATATATAGCCCTTCCATAAACATGTGCAACTCGCATTTGCTTCCAGGGGAGATCTTATGCCAGAGATGAATTTGGTCTATTCTGTTTGCAAATAGTGCAGTTATTTTGGCAACAATCATGTCATCTCTACTTTATACCATCACAGATGCATATCAGATCTTTCTATTTCATATATTTAGACACTTTTACCTAATAGCTTTATTACCACTATGTATATGTTAGTTCTATAGTGGAAAAAGTAATGGTTTTAAGATTATTTTAAAATTATAATAATAATATATGGAGATATCCTATCTCCTAGAACTGAAAGGGACCTTGAAAGGTCATTGAGTCCAGCCCCCTGCTTTCACTAGCAGGAACAAGTACTGATTTTGCCCCAGATCCCTAAGTGGCCCCCCTCAAGGATTGAATTTACAATCCTAGGGTTTAGCAGGCCAATGCTCAGACCACTGAGCTATCCCTCCCCCCATTAAGAATTTTATTTTAGCCTATAATGCTGTTAGTTCAGCTTTGTTTTGTATTGTGTCTTAAACAAATTGTACCCCAAAATTCTTAACAAGTAATCCAAGGGAAGAAACTACAAGAGTAAATCACCAATTCTGCAAACACTTATACACAAATAACTTTATGGAGTGTAGTAGTCCCATTGAGTTTGGAATGGGATAAAAACAAAAGCTGGCCCTAAGAATGCACCAAGTCCCATTCACCTTAGGTGGTCTGTGCAGCCAAATTCCCACCTATACCAAATTTCCTTCACCTCATAATATAATCGCAATGAAAAATGCAAAAAGCAGAAATTTTACAATACTGGGCCAAATAAAAAATGCCCTTAATTTCACTGCTCCCTCTGAAATTAATCATAATATCAGCACTTGGTGAGTGGAATACACTCAAGCCAATGATCTATTAAACACATAAAGCAGCACTCGTACATTACTGAAGTTGAAGAATCAAGCACTCAAAGAAGTCAGGAAATGATAAACAGTTTTCCTGCTGTAATATTAACTTGGCCATGTTGCACATCCTATTCACCATATGGTATATAAATTAATAATAAAACATATAGAATGTGCAACAAAACCAATTTGATGTTGAAGCAGAAACATTAGCTTTTGGATTTTCTTGACTTTTGAGTGCTTTCTTTCTCCAACTTGATGATGCATTAATTTGTGGGCGTAGTTTCAGAAGCACTGAGCATATGCAACTCCCACTCCCACCGAAGTCAATGGGAGCTGTGGGGAGTTCAGGATCTCTATAAACCCAGACCATCTTTAGTTTAAATGAAAAATAAATGAATTGATTATGTGGTAATTGAGGCTCCTAAGAGGAGCACTGAAACCTGCTACCCTTAACTGACCAACTACCTAAACTGGACTCCTCTTTGGGGATTGAATGGGGGAAGTCTTTCAAGTTCTGGCCACAAAATAAGCAGTAGGCTGTGCAGGTGCTCAAAAGGCCTCATTTGGAATATGTGCACAGTACTAGTCACTTCATCTAAAAAAATATCTTAGGAGACATTACTAGTCTCATTGGAAGTTTTGCTATTGATTTCACTGAGACTAGCATTTATTTCAATTTCTCTGTCACTATTCCAAGCTGTAAATGCAGTACAATTACAATATGACAGTTCCTATTCAAAATTCTCCAAAACAAGAACACAAGCATGACTTTCCTAATTAGGGTGCCCAGCCTATGATATTTACCTCAAGATAATATTAAAAAATAGATCCTTAATGGCCCATCCCCTAAACCAATATTAACCCTTAAAAGATTTGGCCTTTAGAGAAGAAAGGTAAAGACTCAGTCACTGATTCAATATAGATACATTTCTAGAATGCTGTGAAGATCACTCGCCAGACATCAGTAAATAAATGTCTAAAGTACTTCAAATCATTCCATTCACCGTCAGCTGTCCTCAGGGTGTGCTTAATTGGGTAAACTGTTCTTCACATTTTTTAATATTATGTATCCAATTATTTGGATTATTTCCTTTAATGGTAAAAAAATTAACTTTTGTTTTAGGGACAGATGTGAGTACCAAAGACATCTTGTAAGGGTGTGTGTTTGGCCCAATAAAAGTCTTACACACAAATTGCACTGTGCTATCATTAATGCTCAGGAATGCAACAAACTTAGCTGTCACTACTCATTTGATAATGCTGTGTCTCAACACCATGCATGTGCCACATGACAACTGTATTCTGCACAAACATGCACACACCTCTGTAAATGAGCAGGTAGACATCCATATTAATGAGTGAACTCCCAGGGAGAGGTCAGTACTAAGGTAGGAATGAAGATTTCCAGGCTTTCTAATTGATGTGCCCTACCAACTGGGCTAAAAAAACCAGCTCCACTTAAGCAGGTCAGCTGATATATTCACCTACAATTTATCACTTCATTAGTGAGTGCCAAGTATTTCAATACATCAGTTCAATATGGACATTTTTATCATTTACGTGATGTTTAGTGTGTGGGTAACTGTTGGATATCATTAAAGTACATGTCACACTTTAGCGAATATAGTGAGCGCCATAGTGCCATCTCTGCGTACCTACATATGTGTCAATTTAAAAGCAAAATATTTTCTATATAAATCTGGTGACTATCCATTCTTTTGATTCTGAGAACATAAGTTTAAGCAGGTCAGCATTCCATATTAAATCCTGTTTGTTCTAAACTTAAAATTGTGAAATTAATTGGGGAGATCGGAAGAACTTACATTAATGCCTTATTCAGATTGCACGGTTTTAAAAGACAGGAAATTGAAATGTTAAAATATTTACAGCAATATTAACTTGGAACATAGTATTTTTAAGGAGTATTTTTCAAGCCTTATTTTTCTTCTAAATGGGTAATTTAGGGCCCAATTGTGAAATCCTCTGTGACTTATCAATTAGAGCAATAGGTTTACAATCTGGCCCTTAATGTATTAGTTTGTTAGATGTGCACCATAAGTTTCAGAAGATGTGTGACATGCCCAGGTAAATTATATTGTATAAGCCTTCAGGGGGCATATCCTGCCTTAATTTTTAAACTGCCATTTTAACATTACACTAGTGTTTTGCAATTAATTTCATTTTTTAAATGAAAGACAAAAAATGCATTCCCCATGCTTTCCAATTTCTATATTTAATTGTACTGTCATGTATAAAACAAGTTGGGAATAGTAGAAAAGCATTGTGAAGAATTTCTGCTTTTCACAAACATGGCAGCTCAAGGAACTGATAGTGGAATAAAGAACCTTTTACCTATTAGGCTTTGAATCCAGCCCAGCTCAGTAGCTACCACCAGTTCTTACTAGCTGTTGATTGTTCAGTGGAGTATGTGAAATAGATTGGTGATTATAGTCCAGTTCTTACTACATATGTCCATATCTCAACTGCCACCCTTGTTAGCATACTCTAAGAAATCAAAGAATGAGCAGAGAAACTCCCCCTGTTCACTCCCCACCCGAGATAGTTCCTCCATGCAAGGTTTGAGAGACATTGACAGCAATAGTGTGAAAGCATGCACTGCTCCTGCCCATATGCAGCGATTATTAGGAAAAACTTTTCAGTCCACCAGACATTTTTCTTTGTAATACTAATTTCCTTTTAAAACATAGGGGACAGCTTATGAA